CCCTGGGTAGAGTGCCATGGCATCACAGCTCACAGTAGCCTCAGGCTCCTGGGCTCAAGTGGTTCTTTTGCCTCAGCCACCTGAGGAGCTGGGATTACAGGCCCCCAGCATGACATCCAGCTAGTTTTTCTATTTTTAGTAGAGATGGGGTCTCAGTCTAGCTCAGGCTGGTCTTGAACTCCTGAGCTCAAGTAATCCACCCACCTTCCAGAGTGCTGGGATTACAGACGTGAGCCACCACCCCCTGCCTGAACTTCTTAGTTTTAGAAGAAGGAACTTAGAAATCCAGATCTCTTACAGCAAATATGCCTTTACTTTGTTTTTGTTATAGCTGTTCCTATATTGGTTTCTGGATTTCCTTTATTACAATGTTTTGTCTGCCCTAGGATATTTGATATAAAAACTTCTTTAAAAACATTCTAAAAAGACATAGTGCAATTTCAGCTCAGACATTGGTCACTGAGCAGTGAGACTTCATGTCTTACATTACGATAGGAGCCAGGGGTGGCTAAGTTCATAGTATGCCATCAATTGCTGTAGTCATTAGCCCTCCAGAAATGTTTTCTGCTCACCAGGATCTAAAAGAAATCATAAAGGAGAGATTTCATTTGTTTTAACCACTGGAGACTTCCTAACTGTCACTGGGGCTCTGTCCCTGTGTCTCACGCGTGGCGGCGGTATCTGTTGTTTTTACAACCTAAAGAAGGAGGTAAAGCTTTTACTTGGGCTTCCTATTAAGAACAACAACAAAAAGCTGTGTGACTTTGAAGGCTAAGGCATCATGAGAAACCAAACTAGAACACAAATTACAACGTAACAGAATGATAACCCATAGTGTCATTCTGAAGGTTTTCTGAAAACTTTGTCTAACCTGTTTTTTCCCCCCACTAGGACAGTGGAGCACTGTTTTCACATGTGTGATAGAATGGTTATCTATTTCTTCATTGCTGCTTCTTACGCTCCATGGTAAGATTTCTATCTCTGAAAGTGGTGTTTTTATGATGACAGTTCCTCACACCCCCTCCCCCTTCCTCTCTTCCTCTTGTTCCCACCCTCAGCCCTCAGGCATATATCCTATCCTGCCCCCCGCCAACACCGTACATGCATGCATTTGTTTCCAACTTGGTTTATTTGAGTCAGATTGCTGCTATTTAGACTGCTGTTTAGAGCAGTGGTTCTCAGCCAGTGGGTTGAGACCCACAGGAACTGTATTAAAGGGCTGTGGCATTAGGAAGGTGGAGAACCACTGGTTTAGAGTATCTAGGCATTGTTAGACTGTTCAGGAGGAACTGCTGCTATGGCTCCATGCCCGTAGCTCAGTGGTGAGGGTGCCGGCCACATACGCCGGGGCTGGTGGGCTCAAACCCAGCCTGGGCCTGCCAAACAACAATGACAACTACAACCAAAAAATAGCCAGGCGGTGTGGTGGGCAACGGTAGTCCCAGCTACTTGGGAGCCTGAGGCAAGAGAATCACTTGAGCCCAGGAATTGGAGGTTGCTGTGAGCTGTGATGCCAGCACACTCTACCGAGGGGACATAGTGAGACTTTGTCTCAAAAAAAAAAAAAAAAAAAAAAAGAGGAAGTGCTATGGACTTGGCTGTAGGTAGCCGGCTCACTTTTGAAATCAGTAACCTTTACCCTCTGTATTCTTTCCATGTACTTCTACAGCTGTTCAGACTACTTGGAAATTGAATTGTTCTAAGTGGAAATGCTGTAAATACAGATGAGGAAAGCAGTCTTACTTTTGAAATTTATGCCATGCGTCTTCAGTTCACATCACAGTAGCTCCTCTATGCTGGGTGTATTTCTCATTTCTTTTGCCATCCGAGTCGGAGAACTAGCCCCATTAGTTAACTGTTTAAGATACCTAGTCTTCTGTTGTTTTCGTGATCTTACTGCCTTTTTACTACAGACCAAATAGAATCTTTTGTTCCTCTGAAATTCTTCATTGAAGAGACCTCAGCTTTCCTCTGTCAAAGGACGGAAGGCAAGGTCCAGTTTTAAACACTCAGAAGTTCACATTATGCCGTCAACTGCTATAGTCAGTAGAAACCGTATGCCTGTAGATCCAGGCTAATGCAGCATCAGTCATTCAAAATAAACCTATTACTGGATGGAGTGAGAAGTAAGTGCTGTCTCTCCCCAACACTTCTTGCTAAATTATAGTTCTTGTAGCAAAAACAGTGAAATGGTCTTTTGAATAAATATTAAGCACCCAGACAACACTTTCCAAAGTAGGAACCTGAAGGGTGTTCCAAATAGGATTCCTTACTCTACTTATTCTAATTAAAGAATTTACAATTAAATGAAATTCCTTACTTTGAGATAGGTAAATCAATTTAAAAAAAACATTAAATGTGACCTGAGGAATCGGATATCAACGTAGGCAATTTGTTCACATGTAGTTTTAGATACATAGATGGTACTTTTTTCATTTAGAAATAGGTTTTTGTAGTGACGGGCAAAAACATTTTTCCCCATATTTACTCTTAACAGGATGTTAGTACAAATGAATCTGTAGTATTTTGAAATTCAGACCTCACAACAGTTCACAGTTAAATTCGGACAGAATATCTTCTGTAACATATGGGGGGAATAGTTCTCGTGTTCTCTCTTGGCGGAGAGATTGATCCTGGAGACACTTGGTTTGTGGATTAGGTATCTGCTATGGGGATGTGATCCCAGTTCAGGATTCTGTTTCCGTATCTCATTAGGCTTTGTAAGCAATCTGCTCCCGAGTACGTGGTCAGAAATGAAAGGGCAAGCAGCCTTCACCTCAGTGCACCTAACAGGGAAAGTCAGGCCTCACAGGTGTCCTGGGACTCACTTCTTTCTGTGTGTAGCCGAATCTATTTTTAAATCATGTTGAAACTAATTTTAAGTCTTAAAGGTCAGCTGACAGCTTTATCCTCCAGTCATTTAATTTTACCTTAATTGCCCAAATGTTTCCTTGGTGTATTGAGTGCCTCTTCTTCCTGCTTTTACTTTTGTACTTTCTCTGAGTTTTTCGTGACTAGCAGGGGTGTCTAACCTTTTGGCTTCTCTGGGCCACATTAGAAGAAGAATTGTCTTGGGCCACACGGTAAATACACAAACACTAACAAAAGCTGATGAGCAAAAGTAAAGTTGTGTGCTTAATTTTCGTGATAATCTGACACCACAGGTAAGCAAAACAGCCCTCAAATAATCTGCATGTGGCCCGTGGGCAACAGGTTGGACACCCCTGGCACAGGTTTATGATGACCCTTCATTTTTCACTTCTGTGCTTCTCCTCTTTACACTTTTAGGTTAAATCTCCGTGAACTTGGACCCCTGGCATCTCATATGCGTTGGTTTATCTGGCTCATGGCAGCTGGAGGAACCATTTATGTATTTCTCTACCATGAAAAGTAAGAAAAAAAAAATTTATGTTTGATAGTTTTAAATTTAACTGCTGAAATTTTACCTACATTGTAATACAATTTATATCAGTCTGTTAATGGCTCGGCACCTGTGGCTCAAGCGACTAAGGCGCCGGCCACATACACCTGAGCTGGTGGGTTCGAATCCAGCCTGGGCCTGCCAAACAACAATGATGGCTGCAACCAAAAAAAAAAAATAGCCAGGCCTTGTGGCGGGCACCTATAGTCCTAGCTACTTGGAAGGCAGAGGCAGGAGACTCACTTGAGCCCAGGAGTTGTAGGTTGCTGTGAGCTGTGATGCCATGGCACTCCATCCAGGGCGACAGCTTGAGGCTCTGTCTCCAAAAAAAAAAAATCAGTCCATCAAAATAGTAGAAATACATAAGTAGAGTAGGTATTATTTGTTAAGAAATCTTCAAAACCATTTGGTATTCTTGTTGGTGGACAGATTGCTGTAGAAAGACAGGAATGGCCCATCTGTGTTATGATGTAGTTGAGGGACCGTGTGGCCAGTCATTTCGCGGACCTTATTCTGAGGCACACTGGCATTATCCTCTGAGATTCACAGTTGTCACATGAGAAAAATGGCCACTTTTCAAAGTTCCTATGAAATACAGATCGAAAATAATGGGTACTAAGTGCCCAACACATTACTTAACCTAAACAGGAACCTAGTGGAGATTGCAAATTGGATTCCTTAAGAAAAGGGATATTGGGAAGGATATCTAAACTCTTAATATTCTAGCCCTGAGGCAGTTTTTTTAGCCCATTATTCATAGTTCATAGTCTTGGGGAGAAGTCTTTTATAATTTGGTACCTTTGTTTGAGAGGAGATCTTTAATGTCATCTATTCTGGCTTCATGATTAACATGTGGGAACACGTAGGACGGGCACCCAATTAGTGACTCATCTAGGGGCTGGGACCAAGTGTCCCAGTTCCTACCCCATTGCTCTTTTCATTACCCCACATGCCCCCTTTGAGAATCACACCATGAAATCACTGTCATTAGATTTATTAATTTACAATTCATTAGCTTCATCATCTATTGTGGTTAGCAGAATGGCTCTCAGAACGGAACACAATTTGTTTATCAGAAAGTATTAAGTTGTTTTCCCCTTTCAGAAGAAAATGGTAGTTTTTACTAACTCCTCTCTGACTTTGAATTCCACTTTGACATTCACCTTTGTGACCGTAATTCGTGATGCTGAGTGGTGTTATGTGGTATACATAAATCCAAGGGAACAGTTTGCTTCTTGGGCTCATCCCCTAATTTATATCATTGGATAAAATAGGAAGTAAAGTAAGGCAGGTATCTTTTCTCCTATAGTAGGCCTTCTGGTGTACACCAAACCCATAAACCCATTCTTCCCCCTGTGATCATTTTGCAGGAGGCTTTGAATATAAAACACGAAGAATGAAGTGTGAGGCCCTCTTGGCCATTAAGTTTGGCAGACATTAGAGAGTCCCCCCCAGTCATGTCAGGTACTGTTCTAGGCCCTGCAGTTCCAAACGTACATAAAACTTGGTCCCTGCCTTTGAGAAGCTTATAATCTGAGTGGGCAGAAATAAAAATAAAGTTGAATTTCAATACCGTGTGTTGCTTAGGGGCTTAGATGTTCTGTAGCTTGATGTGATGAGCCTTAGAAATTACAGTTTATGCAGATGCAAAATAAAGAAACAAAGGCATGCCCTTTCCTTTGGGCTGCCCCTTCTCTGTCACTGATGAACTAGGCCCCAAGCTGTATCCCCAGTGCATCTTCAGAATTTTATTTATAGCTCTGGATTGGAATGGTAATAAGGATTGGAAGGGGAAAATGCCAGGTGAATTGGATTTGATAATAACCATGAATACCTTTGGCAGGAAACATTTTCTAGATCGCATATGGGATCTGATACCTTTTCAACTCTGAAATAAATGCTAGGTCATTGTTACTCAGCTATTGTGTTTTAGTTAAAGGCCTAGTGGTCTCCTACTGGGAAATGCATTTTATTTGAATAGTTAGGAGTTTATATTTCTTTTTCAAAAGCAAAAGAAAAGCTGGTATGTAAATGGTGTTCAGTGTTGTGGAGCTGTTTAACTTAACTTCATTTCCGTTCCTGTAGGTATAAAGTGGTTGAACTCTTTTTCTATCTCACAATGGGATTTTCTCCAGCCTTGGTGGTAACATCGATGGTAAGATGTAGCTTCATAATTTGAGCTGTTTTCTTTTAAATGATTGGGACTGTGAGCCGTGGTATGTGGCTCTTCTTTCTAAAGTTATGGCACGTACATTAACTAGAGACTTAAAAGAAAAATAAAACATGTAAATAATGAAGTGTGCAGGCATCTCGTTCGAGGTGCTTGGTAGAGTCTGGAAAGCCATATGTGTTTCTCTCTTTACAAAGCTCTTGTATTCGTTCGTGTCTCTTGGATGACTTTTTTAAATTATTTTTATTTTTATTTTATTTATTTTTTTTTTAGAGATAGAGTCTCACTTGATTGCCCTTGGTAGAGTACAGTGGCATCACAGCTCACAGCAACCTCCAACTCCTAGGCTTAGGTGATTCTCTTGCCTCAGCCTCCAAGTAGCTGGGACTATAGGCGCCCGCTGCAGTGCCCGGCTATTTTTTTGTTGTAGTTTGGCCAGGGCTGGGTTTGAACCCACCACCCTCGGTATACGGGGCTGGTGCCCTACTCACTGAGCCACAGGCACTGCCCTCTTAGATGACTTTTCTGCTTTTCATACCTACCCTTTCTCCCAGGTAGGTATGTGATTTTACGACAATAGGAATTTATGATTGAATTACCTAGTTTTTTAACCCTGAATCCATGGAGGAGGGTACATTTTGAGGTTTCTTATAATGAAGAAAATATAAATTGCCACCTTCTTAAACTCAACAATTAGAAAGACCTTAAAAGGTGATTTGCTTCATTCTGTTGGATATTTTTCACACCCCTTCTCCCTTTTCCTTTCACTTGCTTTTAAGTCATATTATTTCTCTTTCTAGGGAAAGTACTTTTTTTTAACTTTGCTTGAAAATATCAATTGAGGTTAAAGGTGTAGCATTTATGGTAAGCAACGGCATGTATATATTTTGAATTCCTTTTCAAATTTAATTACTGTTGAGAGATCCATGAGTATCAGTCACTTTGAAACAAAAACATGTTACAACCTCCTAGTCCCATCTCCTTGGTGAACTGCCTTTAGTTTATATAGTCAAGTGTCTCCTGCTCCACATATTTTGAACCTAGCCGCTGTATTCATTAAAGAGGCCTCAGTGTGTTTAGTTTGAATTCTTAGCCTGCAGTGATCAGAAGAAATGTATCTATGATTTTCTTCCTTAGCTGATAGGTACGTTATAAAAACATAATTCTATGATAACGTAGCTTTTTCCCTGGTCATAAGAACACCTATAAAAGGTATAGGAGTTACAAAGCTGGTTCTGTTTTTCATGGACTATGCCTTATGAGAATGTGGGGTTCATGATGTCTTTAATAATAATCTAGCATCAAAAATACATAAAGTCTACTTGGTAAAGGCAACAGGGAATGGTGAGAAGAAGGTGGCAAATGACCGAAGTGGGAAAACCAGCTTTGAAGGTCATGTGGTTGAGGGCATTTCAGGACATCCAAAGCCAGATAAGCAGGGTCTCTATAGATAGGTTACTAATTATTAGAGCAGCATTTCAAGTCAATTTCCTCTGGGTATCCTAAGAGCAGGTTTATCCAGTATTTTACTAGCCTAAATCTTTAATTGGCTTTTCCATAAGTGGTATAATAGCAGGAGCCTAATGTTTATGACAACAAAGCAGGGCAGTCCCTACACTGCCCTCACGGAACTCAGCATCGAGCAGGCCAGTACAACTCACATTAAACAAGAGGCAGAATGAAACGTTATAATGCCTTGGAGTGGGGACGTTCCGGCTGCCATGGGGCCGTGACCGAGTGCCAGAGGAAGTGATGTTTAAGTGATTCAGAAAGACAGGGAGGAGCCGGGAGCCAGTAGGGCTGAGGCACGTGTTGCACGTAGAGAACACAGCGTGAAGGAAGCCAGAGAGTGGGGAAGCACGAGCTTCTTCGGAGCATTGAAGAGTCCACGGTTTGGAACATGGAGTGCGTGCACCTGCTTAGAAGGCGCGTATGCGTGATGGGGGCGAGATAAAGCTGGACAGCTAGACAGAGCCGAGGTCAGAAAGGACCTCACAAGCCACCTGAACAAACAAGCGATGATGCGAATGCAGACACAAAGCTTTGCTCCTGGCCAGAATCAGGGCATCAGACTTACTTTTCTGCCACAAAGAACTGGAAAACTGGAAACAAAATAAAAGCAACTGATTTGGGCACAGAACCCAGACAGCAGAGAAGTGATCCTTGAGGGAGGAGAAACCAAAAAACAAGCTTTGACTTCATCCCAGTTGTTTCCCTGGAGACACTTTCCAAACAGCAGCAGAAGGAAGTGGAGCCCAGAGGGCAGCAGTCTAGATGGAGGAAACAGAACTGGCATCTCAGGCCACTCAGACAGCTGCAGTTTGCGGGGCAGGTCGCTGGAGAGAAGAGCTGCTCAGAGAAGAGGCTTCAGAAGTCTACAAAGGCCTTTCCTTTAGCGATTGCCCAAATATGAAGCTGAATTGGTACAGGGCAGAACTGTGCAAGCCCTGGCCAAGTGTAACTATTCAAAGGTTGGGAGATCAGTGGAGATTCCAGACAGTGCCAAGGTTGGGAAACGGAGTTCCAACCAGCCAGAGTGGAGGGACAGGGCTGGACATCCCAGGCATTCGGTTGACCCTGCCCAGGCCACACCTTAGGAGTAGAGATACTCTTAGCAGGAGAGTGAGGGCTGTGCTAGAACTGCTGTAACAAATCCAAAAACAAACCTGGGTAGGCAAGATTGACCCTCCAGTAGATAAACTGGCCACCAGAACAAAACTCGGGAGTCTTTAAAGAAAGACAGCAAAACCCTGTGCTCTAACAACTTGCCATCCACCATCTAGGTAGATATTACCAAATAGGCAAGAAGCAAGAGAATGGCACACACTAAAGAAAAACAGGCCATGGAAGCAGGTCAAAGATGAGAGAGGTTTTGAAATTTGCATAAAAATATAATAATAAACAGATAAGAAATGTCATCTTTGTAGTCCCTGTAAATGAAGTCTATATAAAAAAATCCAAATGGAAATTCTAGATGAAAACTGTGATGTCTTTTTCTGGCAATTCTACATGAAAACTGATGTCTTTTTTTTCCAGTTATGATGGGTACACGTGTAGGTTACGTGTGCTGTTTTGAAACAGGCGTACGGTGTGACTTAATCAAACCAGGTGATTGGGATATGTGTCAACCTCAGGCGTGGGTCTTTTTTTGTGTCGGGAACATTCTAGTTTCACTCTTTTAGTTATTTTAAAGGATACCCTAACTTGTTGTTGATTATAGTCACTTCATCTTACTATCAAATGTTGTTCATTGTAGCTGACTCCATTTTTGCACCCATTAACCACCCCCACTTTGTCCTGCCTCTCCCTGCTACCCATCTCAGCCTCTGATAACTATCATTCTACTCTCCATCTCCGTGAGATCAGTGGTTTTAATATTTAGCTCCCACATGTGAGTGAAGACACGCAAAGTTTGTCTTTCTGCTTGTGGCTTATTTCATGTAATGTTCTTCAGTTCTATCCGTGTTGTTGCAAGTGGCAGGATTTCATTCTCTTTTGTGGCTGAATAATACCCTACTGTGTTCATGCACCACAGTTTCTTTGTTCATTCGTCCTAGACACTTAGGTGGGTTCCAAGTCCTGGCTGTGGTGAATAGCGCTGCAGTAAACGTGGGCGTGCAGAGAGCTTTCCCACCAACTGGATTTCCATCCTTTGGATATTTACCCAGCAGTGGGATTGCTGGGTCTTATGGTGGTTCTATTTTTAGATTTTTGAGGAACTTCCATACCGTTCTCCATGGCGGTCACGCTAATTTACATCTCCGCCAACAATGGACAAGGGTTCCGCTTTCTCAGCACCCTCCTGCCAGCCTTCATGACTGCCTTTTTGACAATCCATTTTAACTAAGGTGAGGCATGAGGTGATAGCTCACTGTAGTTTTGATTTGCATTTTCTGATGCCTAATGATATTGAGCATTTTTTTTTAGTATGTTTGTTGGTGATTTATATGTCTTTTGAGAAATGTCTATTCAGAAGAGCCTTCACCCGATTTTTAAATGGATAAATTTTTTCTTTTTTTGCTGGGGCTGGGTTTGAACCCGCCACCTCTGGCATATGGGGCCAGTGCCCTACTCCTTTGAGCCACAGGTGCCGCCCTTAAATGGATAATTTTATTTCTCCCATTGAGTTTTTGGAGCTACTTATGTATCCGGTTACTAATCCCTTGTCAGATGAGTAGTTTGCAAATATTTTCTCTCATTCTGTGGGTAGTCTCTTTACTTTGTTGACGGTTTCCCTCGCTGTTCAGAAGCTTTTTAGCTTCATGTGATCCCACGTATCCAATTTTGCTTTGGTTGCTTGTGCTGTGGGGATATTACTCAAGAAGTCCTTACCCAGACCAGTGTCCTGAAGCATTTTCCTGGTGTTTTCTTTTAGTAGTTTCACAGTTTCAAGTCTCAGACTTAAGTCTTTAATCCATTTTGATTTGATTTTTATAAGACAAAAGATAAGGGTCTGGTTTCATTCTTCTGCATATGGGTATCCAGTTTCCCTGGTGCCACTCATTGAAGAGACTGTCTTTTCCCCACTGTATGTTCTTGGCACCTTTGCTGAAGATAACGTCACAATAGATTTATGGATTTATTCCTGGGTTCCGTATTCTGTTCCATTGGTCTGTGTGTCTGTTTTAATGCCAGTACCATACTATTTTTGTTTTTTCTTTTCTTTTTTTTTTTTACCATACTATTTTTGGCCATAGCTCTGTAGTATGATTTGAAGTCAGGTAGCGAGATTCCTTCAGTTTTATTCTTTTTGCTCAGGATAGTTTAGCTTTTCTGGGTCTTTTTTGGTTCCATACTAATCTTAGGACTATTTTCTCTATTTCTGTGAAGAAATACCTTTGGTATTTTGATGGAGGTTGCACTAAGTTTGTAGATTGTTTTGGATGTATGGATGGTGAAAACTCTGTCTAGAGAAGAGAATTTGTTGGAGGGATTTAATAACAAATTGGATACTGCAGATGAAAAGGTCAGTGAACTTGAGGCCAGGTCAGTAGAAACTACACAAATGGAAGCATAAGGGGAAAAAAGAGTTACTAAAATATGAACAAAGTGAGAGAGAGGTTAGTGCAGTATTTTTTTCCTTCTTTTATTTAATGTTTAGAGTCATGTCAAGGGCAAGGTTTTTTTTTTTTTTAAGAATAGTTATTGTTTCTAAATTTGATCAAAAGTATCAACCCACAGATCCACAAAGCAAAATGAAGGCTGAACAGGGTAAACAAAAAGAAAACTGAAAACCAAAGGTTAAAAAAAAAAAGAAGTCTTAAAATCAGCCAGAGAGAAAAACAGGGGAAAGAATGACCACTGACACCTCGTCAGAGGTGGAAGCAGGAACACAGTGTAAGAGCATCTTTAACCACAATGAAAGGTAAAGACAAGACCTCTCCACTTCCAGCTGAGGCCAGCTCAGCCTAGTAACGCAAATGTCAAAAACAAATGGAGTGCTGGAAATGATGAATTTGTGAATGAACACAACAGACTTTCATGTCTTAATTTCTTCAAAGGCTAGTGTAGGGGTTTATAACACATGGAAATAAAGTATATAGTAACGAAAGATGGGAGTGGAGAAGTGAAGGTATCCTGATGTGAGGGTCTTAACCCTGTGTACACAGATAAGAGAATAAAGATATCCTGTGATAGGATGCCCTTTGTAATCCGTAGAGTAACCACTTGCAACAACAACAAAATAAAAACAAAATCCCAGAGTAAAGGTGATTGCTAAGTAGCCAAGAGAAAAGGTAACATGGAATACCAGAGCTACTCAGTTATAAAAGAAGGCAGGAAAAGAGGAAAAAGGCAACCAAGAGTAATGGCAGGCAGGCATTTTCAGACTGGACTAAAAAAGTTTTCTCATCTATAAAATGGGGATAATAGGACCTAACTTATTTTCGTTGTGAAAGCTAAATGAGGCTCGGTGCCTGTAGCACAGTGGTTAAGGCACCAGCCACATACACCCAGGCTGGCAGGTTTGAACCCAGCCCGGGCCTGCTAAACAACAATGACAACTGCAATGAAAAATAGCTGGGCATTGTGGTGGGCACCTGTAGTCCCAGCTACATGGGAGGCTGAGGCAAGAGATTCTCTTAAACCCAAGAGTTTGACTTTACTGTGAGCTATGACGCCATGGTACTCTACCCAGCGAGACTGTCTCCAAAAAGAAAACTAAATGAGTAAATACAGGGAAGTGTTTCAAACAGCGCCTGGCACACAGGAACAGTAACAATAGTAATTATTAAAAAATGATGTTTATTCATTTGTTTTAGAGTTAAGTATACTGTACTTCTTTGGAAGTTGATAAGGGAAATGTGTCTTGAGGACCTGTCTGTATACAAAATGCATGTCAAAACCAACCATGTATTTAGTTTGGTCTCTTGCTTGTTTTGGCAGAAAGGATAAAAGGATGGGGTCTTTTAAGCAGCTATGTGACTTTGTTAAGGCCACTTGCTCTCTGCCTTAGTCTCCTGCCCTTAAAAATAAGGAGATAGAGG